AGCGAGGATCCGCCGACATAGCTTTGGTCCAGGAGCCATGGATCGCCTCAGACAATGCCATCGCCGAACTGAAGTCCGCAAATTACAATTTGCTCCATCCACCAACGGTAAGCAGGAATAGAACCGCCGTACTTGTACGGAAGGGTCTTGTTGCTAACCTTATGTCCCATTACAGCTCTGATGACCTGTCCGTGACATAGAAAAGTCCATAGAAACCCTCTCCAAAGAACTGCTGAATGCGTACCACGCATCATGCTCTATATCGGACACGAGAAAAAGGACCAGGCCACCCTTGTGGAATAAGGACCTTTCACTCCGACGCAACAAACTCAAAGAATTCTTAAAAATCGCCAAGCAGGCGAAAGATGACATCATCTGTCTGGTTATGCAGCCCACACCTGATGACCCAGCTGCCAAACAACAACAATAAATTTGCCCTTCGTAGCAAAGCTTTGCCTCTCTTCCTACCTTCTGCATAACATAAACTTTATCACTCTCTCGCTCTATTCCGTACCTTTGCACAGCTGCCCTTAGCCGTCCGCTAACTGCAGCAAAAATTCTTTTCGAGTTCGAGTTCATCTTCGTTCGGCTTCGCCTACGCTTGAAAGCGATCAGCCGCAATTATCTTTGTTACTTTTTTCGGACCAATTCGGGTCATAAATATCCACAGCGGCAATTCGGCTCCCCTGTGCTGATAAATAATAGAAAACTTCGTGGCTTAATAAATATTGTACTTAATTTATAACGGTTTAAAAGAAGTGCGTACTTTTTGGGCAAAAAGAAATTCGTCGGTTTCGACAGCTATTGAAAAAGCTCAGTAACTCAACATTGGTGACCCCGACGTGATCTTGGCTATTAAAAACATTAAACATTTCGGTTTAATAATTTGCCAAGCGCGTAAACAATTTCGTTTAGTGCATTTGCTTATGACTGTACTTTGCCGCGGCGCGCTAGGCAAACGTACATACATACATATATATGCACCGTAACTCTAACAAAATAATTTCGCTTGTGTGCGTGCATCGTTGCGGTACAAAGAAACAAACTTCAGTGCATGTCGAACTGTTGACTGCCGTTGCTATTGTGAACTAATAAAATAATGTTTCGACTCCAGAAACTCCTCAGTTCTCGTCGCCCAATCGAGTTACGTGAGAGGGTTAAGGCCGTTCCTGAGGAGGAGCTCACCCTGCAACTTGAGCTCATAAATAAAACCGAAGCCTCTTTCTCATTGGCTCATGATTCGTTGGAGGAACTCCATTATGAGAAAATTGGCAGCAAAGTGCGGGACGACTTTGAGGAGTTGGTGTTCTCGATGAGATCGGTGATGCTGCAAGAGCTAGGGAAGCGCAAAATTCCAGGAGTTCCGTGTTCAACCATGCATCCAGAGGTGGCCATGGAGTCCGCTTCGCCTGCTCCAAGAAGATCATGCCTTCCTGAGCCTAAGTTGCCAACCTTCAGCGGCGGCTACACTGAGTACGCCGATTTTATTTCGATGTTCCTGACAATTAATGATAGGAATAGTGATCTGGCTCCGATTGAGAAGTTGCAGCCCCTGAAATCATGCCTGAAAGGTCCAGCTTTAGATGCCGTTCGTTCGCTGGAGATCACTCACTCTAATTATGGAGTAGCTCTGTAATTACTTGACAATCGCTTCAATAATAAACGCCTTATTCTTCAGGCTCACATAACAGATATTTTTGGTTTGTCAAAGGTGGAAAGTGCATCAGCTGTGAAGCTTCGTGAGCTCTTCGATAAGCTCAATGCCAATCTTCGAGCGCTTCAGAGCTTGGGAACCTTGGAGGAGATAGCTGGTTGCATTCTTATTCATACGCTGCTGCAAAAAGTTGACCCGACTACCCAGGCTAAATGGGATGAGTCTGCCTCTCTGGACAAAATACCCACCTGCACAGAATTTACTAAATTTCTGAAGAAGCAATGCCAGAAACTTGAGAATGTGGAGCGTGCTGCTGTATCCAATGGTGGCAATTCGCAAGCTTCAAGGCCCAGGAGGTTCAGCAGTCATGGGAGAAGTTCGTTCGTCGCCACTAGCATCACAGCCTCGACCAGCATTTATAATTGCGCTCAATTCGCCAGCCTTTCTCCTCAAGCTCGTATGCGTGAAGCTAAACGGCTAGCCTTATGCCTAACAGCCTCAAATCTGGACATCAAATGAGGAATTGTAGTTCGGGCTCCTGTCGAGCATGTGGATCTCAATTGCATATCATTACTTCTCGCCTCGCACACTCGCTTCAGCTGCCGAGAGTCAAATCCACGGCCATTGTATCTGGACTTGGAGACTCAATTTTTGTTCGGATGGTTTTTCGGTAAATATTACTCTAAAGTCTCAAGCTTCAGATTTCGTCTCCAGTATCTCGGCTTTGGTTGCGCCTGCCATCACGGACGACCAGCCTAGATTCACCGTCAGCCCAGGGGACTGGAACATACCCTCCAATATTCGCCTAGCCGATCCACAGTTCTTCAGATCGCAAAGAATTAACTTATTAATTGGAGTAAGTCTATTCTTTCAGCTGCTATTTGTTGGCCAAATGAAGTTGCCTGATGGGCTCCCTCTGTTGCAAAAAACCCGATTGGGATGGGTTGTCACTGGCGGAGGATCAGCGCCACGCCAGTCAGCGGCCTTGGCTGTCCAATCTACTGCAGGGACGTTAGTCGGAGATGACGCTGGTCTGGAGAACATTGTGCGGAAGTTTTGGAAGTGGAAAACGTTGGAGAGTCTGGATCTCAACGTACCAAAGAGGAACTCGATTGTGAGGCTCATTTCAACGCCAACTTTACTCGGCTGCCGTCAGAAGAATACTCGGTTCGCCTGCCAACTAAGCATAGCATTGAAATCATGGGAGATTCATATCAACAAGCTTATCGTCGTTTCGTTAACCTGGAGAACAAACTGGATCGTCATCCTCATCTCAAAGCGCAGTACTCGGCATTTATTCGTGAGTACCTCGATCTGAATCATATGTCTCTTGTGGATTTAGACTCACGGAATTTATGCAAGTTTTATTTGCCTCATCACTGCGTTATTAAAGAGGATAGCACAACTACTAAGCTGAGTGTTGTCTTTGATGGGTCTGCTAAATTGTCATCTGGATACTCCTTGAAAGAGGTGCTCATGGCAGGGCCCACCTTGTAGCCGAGGTTGTTTAACACATTGTTGCAGTTTCGCACATTTCCTGTCGCCTTAACCGGCGATATTTGAAAAATGTATAGATGCGTTCGGATTGGTGAGCCGAATAGCTCTTTGCAATGCATTTTGTGGCGCGACTCACGGCAAGAGGAAATTCGCGTTTATAGGCTGGACACTGTCACCTATGGAACTAAACCGGCCTCGTTTCTGTCAGTTCGAGCCATGCATCAGTTGGCAGAGGATGAGAAGGCATCGTTTCCACTTGGCGCCAAAATACTTTTGCGAGACTTCTACGTGGATGATCTCATCACAGGAGGCAACTCGACACAAGACGTCTTGGAGATCATGCGGCAGACCACTGGACTTCTCGAAAGGGGCAATTTCATGTTGAGAAAATCGTGCTCAAACGATCCTGCGTTGCTGCAACAAATCCCAGAGGCCGAAAGGGATTCATTCTTGAAGTTTGACGATGGCAGCGACATCACCAAAACGCTTGGACTTGTTTGGGATTCATCGTCGGAAGTTTTGCTGTTCTCCACATCACCAATGAAAATTATTGCCAAACCAACCAAACGCTCAGTCTTGTCTACGATCGCTTGCTTCTATGATCCTCTAGGTCTTATTTGTCCTGTAATTACTTTAGCCAAAAAATTTTTACAGAAGATCTGGAGAGAGAGACTCGACTGGGACAAAAGCTTGCCGGCAGATCTAAATTCCTCGTGGCTAAGTTTGTCGGCCAATATTTGTGAGACGCAAAAGCTGCCTGCAGTTTCCTCGACTAGCACTGAACCCAAACAATCGGAGTCCACGGATTCAGTGATGCCAGAATTGACGCATACAGAGGCTGCATGCACGTCATTTCCATGGAGGATGACCGACGGATTGCCCATATCCTCTGCGCTAAATCTCGTGAGGCGCCACTGAAGACTCACACGGTCCCTAAGCTGGAGTTGTCTGCTGCCGTGTTGCTGGCTCAACTCATTCAAGAAGTACGACAAATGGGGCTATTCTCATGCTCATACTACTGCTGGTCGGATTCTGCAGTTGTTTTGTCCTGGATTAGAGATGAGTCGTCACGTTTTCGAATATTTACTGCTTACCGAATCTCTTTAATTCAGTCGGTTACGAACGGAATGGAATGGCGCTACGTCCCTACGAGCTCCAATCCAGCAGATATCCTGTCAAGAGGAGCTCTTCCCAGTGAACTGATAGCTTCTAACCTATGGGCTCATGGACCTGACTATCTTCGAAAGGAAAAATCTCAATGGCCAGAGTCCTGTCTTGCAGTGAAGACTCTTCCTGACCTTAAAAAGATTGCTTTGGTCGGCATCTCGACAGCTGCTGATGTATCCTTGTACTGCAAATTCTTCAACTCGTGGAAAATTAAAGCATGTCTTCGGCTACATCTACAAATTTCGCAATCGTATCAGGCAACCAGGGTTCACTTCGGAACATGTTCGCTGTGGCACCCAAATGCTCATCCGCTCCATTCAGATGGTTCATCTTAATGACGAGTATCATTGCCTAATTCGAGGAAGGCCCATGAAGTCCAAGCTCCATCGCATCGCTCTCGCCCATTATCTACGAACTTAGACTTTTACGTGTTGGCGGCCGACTGAAAAACTCTACTCTGGACTATGAGGCACGCCATCCACTGATATTACCTCGTCAGCATCTTGTAACGCGCGCAATAATCCTGCATTTTCATCGGCGCAACCTATACTCTGGACCTCGCTCCCTGCTCGCTTCAATCCGGCAGCAGTTTTGGCCAATTGGTGGCCGCAAGACAGCTGCGAGTGCTGTGAGCAAATGCATAATTTGTTTTCGGGCCAAGCCACATGTTGCAGGCCACATTATGGCGGATCTTCCGGAGGACCGCGTCAGCCCATCTTACGCCTTCAAGGTGACTGGACTGGATTTTTGCGGCCCGTTCTATCACAAGTCGGAAGTTTGGAATAGGGCACCAATCAAGTGCTACGTCTGCATTTTTATCTGCTTCTCCACAAAGGCTGTGCACCTCGAGCTGGTCCAGGATCTCTCCACTTCGGCGTTTCTTAGCGCATTGAGGCGCTTTATACTTATTCGTGGCAAGCCTGCCCGCATATGGTCGGACAATGCGACTAATTTTGTTGGCGCTAAGAACGAGTTGGCTGATCTAAAGCGATTGTTCCTGAATGCCAGCCACCAAACTGCAATAGATGAATTCTGCTTGACTGACAGCATCGAATGGCGATTTATTCCTCCTCGCTCTCCCCACTTTGGAGGTCTTTGGGATGCGGCTGTGAAGTCTGCGAAGTACCACTTCTACCGATCTGTTGGACCTGCAATACTGCTCACTGATGACCTGCGCACTCTCTTTTGCCACATCGCTGCAATCATTAATTCTCGTCCTTTAGTCTCACTTTCAGAACACCCTGGCGATCTTGATGTGTTGAGACCGGCGCACTTCTTGGGTACTGCGCCTCTTGCCTTATTTCCTGAGCCTGACTACACTAACTTGAACGTCAATCGGTTAGATCGCTGGCAGAAAATTTCGTTTTACCAGCAACTATTCTGGTCCCGCTGGAAAAGGGAGTACCTGACGCTCCTTCAACAGCGCTCCAAGTGGCGCACACAGAAGGCGGATGTTCAACTCGGTGATGTCGTTCTGGTTAAGGACGAAAACCTGCCCTCTCTTGTAACGTGCAACGTTCTACAGCACAGTTTTGATCGAGATCTGAATTCGCGGGTGCACGCTATAGGGTCCGGCTCTAGCTCGTCGGCTTTGGGGGTGGAGGTCTTGCTCGTTCAGATCTGCCTTGGTTTATAATTACTAATCAAGAAATTGAGCGTGCTTGCGACGGCATACGAAAATATATCGGAAATTGGGTAGAGAAACGTAAAATTAATTCCAGAAGAGACAGTGGAGAAAGTCAGAAAAGGAAAAGAGGAGGGAAATTCGGTGAAAAGACGACGTAGGTGTTGTTACGTCATTATTAAACCCGCCCAACCTGTGATCACTGTCTTCGAGCTGAGCTCGAGTGATCCCTTTTGATACCCTTACGACTGCAGAATCATCTGCCGAGCTCAAGTGAAAAGGATTACTCCATGATTTCGTTCATGTACATTTTAATCAGATATATTAAGTCTAACAAGCGTAAGGGGAAATTTAGCATATATGTATTAACAAATATAATGTTTAAAGAATGAAGTAGAATATAAAAGTGAAGGCATGGTAAGTTATAATTAATGTTAAGAAATAAGATTAAATTTTTAATAAATTTTAAATTTGTTTAGTAAACTTCATTGCTGATCTCTTGGCTAAATTTTACTAAGTGTTTTAATTCCGTTAAATATCTAAAGTTAATTTTTCCTTGTGCAATATTTCATATTTTCCAGTGTTAAGGCTTTTAATTAGATTTAACTTAAATTAATCAATTAAATTGTATTGTTTTAATCATACTCTGTTTTGTTTGTTCGGTTTTAAGGCCGTTGAAATAATTCATTTTTTTTTTTTACTTTTACTTTCAATTTTCTTTTACGTAACTTTTCTTTTAATTAGCACGAGGATATTCTAGGCGTGACGAATGTTATTAAAATACACGGCAAAAATTCAATGACCAATAAACGCTTCATTTTGTTTGTTGCAACTCACATGATAATTTTTTTCCAACGACGAAAGATCGATCTCCCGAGCTGTAAAAGAATGCAGAATGAGGTCTGCCATGGGTTAATAAAATCGTCCACCTGCTTATCGCACGCTAATAATTTTTCTTGAATTTTTTTTTTTTTTTTTTTTTATAACTTAAAACCGCTCAAAATTTAGTTTATCTACATTTCCTAATTTAATCTCCTTAAATTTTAAATATTTTAATCATAGTTTAATTCCGTTTTAATTTAAGATAATTTTTTAACAATGTAAATTTAAATAGCTTAATCTCGTGGAAGTTTTCTGTCAGTGTAGCAAAAAAAAAAAACAACGTGCTATGAGGCTGACACTCGGCGAAATTGGGGAACTCGTGACTTTTCGCAAAATTTATGCACGATGCGCCTTCAACTATAGAAAGAGATTGGCGCTCATCTCGAGGGATTACTGTAGCGGCCGAAGAAGGCAATATTTTACGCGGATTTAGACATTATGTTCAACCTAACCCCTCTTAAGAATATGTGCATGGGCACGAGTTGGCTCTAGAGATTCCTTTTGGCCACGTTAACGGCCGTGGCCGAACGCACTAAAACGCGGAAAGACTACATGCGCTCTATTTATTTGCTGATCCTCTGCGTTTGTGGCTTCTACAACGTGGTCAAATCAAATTTTCGATGAAGATGCTCCGCTGGACGGAGGAGGTGGCTCCTCGATGGAGAGGGTGGCTCCGCTCGAAGGAGAAAGGTGGCTCCGCTTGACGGAGGAAGGTGGCTCCGCTTGACGGAGAAGGTGGCTCCGCTTGACGGAAATGGTGGCTCCGCTTGGCGGAGGAGGGGGCGCGGCTTCTAGCCGCCGATCTTGCTGCTGCGCTCGCTGCGCCTCACTGGGCGATGTCTCCGCTCGGCGGAGATGGTTGACCCTTCGCTGCCTGCGAGTGTGGGGGTTCTCCGCTACCCGGCCGGGAAATTGGCAGCCTCGGAACGGCTGACGTTGCTGCCGCTAGAACGGCGTAATCCGTTTTCCTCGGATGCCGCTCGCAGCAAGGGTGCTCCGCCGTCTCGTCCACTATGCTGTAAGGGGGTGCTCCACTGGACACTCCCTAAACCGAGTGGTCGAAAAAATATTCCGTCAGAAATATGCCAAAATTAGGTGGCACTTAATGGCTTACCTAGCCTTTCCGCCAACTTTGGCAACAAAACAATGAAAATTTTCTCCTCGTGATGCAGCTGTAATGCCGTTGATATCGGATGCACTTTATTTACTTTAGACCGTACTCGAATAAAACGCGTGTGATCGCTTCGGCACTCTCAGAGAGAAGAACATGGCCGGATTCCGGATATGGACCGGTGAAGTTGGCCGCGGTGCCAAAGCTGAGCTGATCCAGCTGATCAATATCGATTAATATTGCAGTTGCAGCCGGAGTGCAATAATTGGCAACGCTCTTATCACTGCTTTACCTAAATTCATACTTTTAGGCCAAAATACGTAATCAGCTCAAAAGTGCTTCAGGCGCCGTTACACTCTCAAGTGGCCACTAGCTCGAGTGATCAACCTCGTCGCTGGATCCGATAATGTGGCTCGAGTAGCTATGCTGAAGACCGCCACTGGCCTCATCAATCGGGCAGTTGCTAAGCTGTGTGTGCTGCCGAAGCAGGACGAAGTTGAAAGCCCGTATCTTCCAACGGGGGGAGAATGTCTGGTTATGCAGCCCACACCTGATGACCCAGCTGCCAAACAACAACAATAAATTTGCCCTTCGTAGCAAAGCTTTGCCTCTCTTCCTACCTTCTGCATAACATAAACTTTATCACTCTCTCGCTCTATTCCGTACCTTTGCATAGCTGCCCTTGGCCGTCCGCTAACTGCAGCAAAAATTCTTTTCGAGTTCGAGTTCATCTTCGTTCGGCTTCGCCTACGCTTGAAAGCGATCAGCCGCAATTATCTTTGTTAATTTTTTGGACCAATTCGTGTCATAAATATCCACAGCGGCTATTCTGCTCATCTGTGCTGATAAATAATAGAAAACTTCGTGGCTTAATAAATATTGTACTTAATTTATAACGTTTTAAAACAAGTGCGTGTTTTTTGGGCAAAAAGAAAATCGTCGGTTTCGACAGCTATTGAAGAAGCTCAGTAGCTCAACAGATGACATCATCAATGAGGAATACAAAGTCCTACTTAAGGACTACAAGAAGGAAATGCGCAAGGCGCAGAGAAACTCATGGAGAAACTTCTGCTCCAATATAAAGACTGCCCCGGAAACAGCTAGACTCCGGAAGCTGCTATCGAAGCAGCCAACCATACAGAGTCAGCTCAAACGCGACGACGGACAGTGGACTGAGGGCAGCACTAATGCACGCGCATTTCCCCGGATGCACTGAGGTACCCGATGCAAATAAGCACCAGGACCTAGCAACTGGAGTAGAGCATCTCCCAAAAGATCTAATATCCTCTGGTAGAATCCACTGGGCTATAGACTCCTTTGCGAGGATAAAAGCACCAGACCTAGATGGAATATTCCCAGCCATGCTGCAGGTGAGGTGATCACCCCATGGCTATACGCAATATATACAGCTTGTTTAAGCACGGGCTTTATCCCTATCCATAGGAGGACTTCTCGGATTGTCTTCCTGCCACGTGAGCCACAAGGATTACAGACCGATAAGCCTCACCTCATTCCTACTTAAAACGCTGGAAAAGCTGCTGGACCAGGAACGATGTAGGGAGACAACTGTCGACCAACCAGCACGCCTACACGAAGGAGAAGTCAGTGGAGACGGCACTACATTCGTTGGTAGCCAGCATTGACAGAGCCCTAAAACATATTCCTTATATGCACTTGGAGTGTTCGCGGACATATCCGGGGCATTCAACAACATTAGCACGGACGCAATAATGGATCGCCTAGAAGCGACCAACTCGTCCCCCGCAATCAACTTGTGGATAAAAAATCTTCTAAGTTGCCGGTGGGTACAATCAGATTGGGGCACCGCTTCCATGGTGAGAGGAGCGCACAGAGGCACGCCGCAAGGTGGGGTTCTGTCGCCCCTCCTATGGAATCTGGTGGTAGACGACCTAATCAAAGGATTCGAGAGGAAACCACCAAAGATAACAGATTATGCGGATGACATAAGCATAAATATCACGGGAGTCTGTCCATCGACCCTCAGCTCGATCATGGAAACAACGCTCAGGGAGATATGTGAGTGGACGGAGAAGGTAAGACTCAATATCAATGCGGATAAGACGGACCTTATTCTCTTCACCAAGAGATACAAGGTGCCGCAATGGATCCCCCCAAAAATTAACAAAACCAGGCTGACCCCGAAAACACAAGTCAAATACCTCGGCATTGTACTTGACAGCAAGCTGACGTTGAAGGCCAATGTAGTAGAGAGGGTAAAAAAGCCAGCATAACGCTATATGCATCTAGAAAGATGATTAGCTGCACTTGGGGCCTCTCACCCGCTCTAATGCATTGGGTCTACATATCGGTGGTGCGTCCGACTCTGCTGTATGGAGTCTTAGTGTGGTGGCAAGCCACGGAGAAGAAAACGTATAATAAGCTTATGGAGAGAACCCAGCGGCAGACACTGCTCTGCATATCAGGGGCGCTGAGGTCAACCCCCACCAAAGCACTCGAAACCATAATCAGTATATATCCCCTAGATATCCAAGCGCAACTGACAGCAGGAAAGGCGGCACAACGTCTGGTTGCATCGGGAAACTGGTCGCTACAAGGTTTCGGGCACAGTTCAATTGGTCGACACATGAGCAGTACATCTGACTACATGATACCCAGAACGTTCCCGGATGTAAACACAACAGTATTCATGGGACCAAATGACGGGAAGTCAGGCCAGGACTCTGCTCAACACCTCAATATATACACCGACGGCTCCAAGATGGAAGGAGGAGTTGGAGCGGGCATATACTGTTCAGACCCTGAAATGAGGCTGTCGTATAAGGTACCAAGCTACTGCAGTATATTCCAGGCGGAAGTATTCGCCATCAGGAAAGCAGCAGAGTTTGCGCAGAGCATAAACCGTCCACATGAGGCGGTCAATTTGTTCGTAGACAGTCAAGCGGCGATAAGATCCATGCAATCATCAGCGGTCAGTTCCAAAAATGTACTGGCAAGCAGGGAGTCACTAGATAGCCTGAGCACGACTAAGCCAGTGAGG